ATTGGCGTGTTGGCATCCCTTCCTTATCCCCTCTTCTGGCACTTTTCTAATCCTCTCATGAGCCAGCATAGCACCTGGTCCTTTTCACTATTTACATGTAATTGAGAAAACAGCATAGGGAAGACAAATTTCAAAAGGGAAAATCACAGCCCCAAAGATCACCATCATTTTTACACATCATCTGAAAGGCTTGGTTCATGCGTGTGCATGTGTATGTGTATCGCAGTTGCAATTGTAGTGAAGATACAATTATATATTGATTACCCCTTTGTTATTATATCCTATTGTTTTCATATTTCTGCGTAATTGCCATGATTGTTAAATATGCACAACGCCGTTTTGACATAGGGATTCACAAAAATTATCTACTTAGGACTATTTTTTTTAAATATTTTTTAAGGGCTGGGATGTGGCTCAAGCGGTAGCGCGCTCGCCTGGCATGCGTGCGGCCCGAGTTCGATCCTCAGCACCACACACAAAGATGTTGTGTCCGCCAAATACTAAAAAATAAATATTAAAAAATTCTCTCTCTTTCTCTACCTCTATCACTCTCACTCTCTCTTAAAAAAATATTTTTTAAATTGTTGATGGACCTTTATTTTATTAATTTATTTATATGTGGTGCTGAGAATCGAACCCAGTGCCTCATACTTGCTAGGCAATCCAAAATCTCTACGGGCTCCAATCAGTTCAACAATAGGAAATGACTCTGGATCTGCAGTAACCGGGATCGGGACAAAAGTTGGAATTTTCATAACCATTGCCATAGGCCAGGATCCATTCCAACACTCAGACAAATAACAGGTAATATTAGAGCAATTAAGCATCCCCTGTGATGTAACATTAGCCAAAAGAAACAGGAACGGAGATTGGAGACAGACTGCTGCAGAGGGTAATGTAGCATTAGATAATTGTGAATTATTTGCAGAAATTTTAAGCCTCCTACCTCACTCCGAGTCTTGGGTACTGCCAGAAACATTAAACAGCCAACTTTGGACTCCTAATATTTCCCTGGGGAAACACAAGCGCACACTAGACTAGCCCAATCTGAGGGAGTCATGCAAAATCTAGTAAGTCCCTCCACCTGAGTGAGAGTGAAAGCGGCATCTATGCCATAAGTGCGGACAGATTCTGCCAAGGTTTTAATTATCTTAAAGTCTAAAGGCTCATGATATCTTCCCCTGTTATTGTCCTGAAATACAGGGTATGCAAGTCCCATATCTGTATTAACTGTCCTCCAAACTTGTGCATGAAAAGATCTCCCGGAACCTTGGCACCCCCCACATACGGAGGTGGGGCAATCGGCACCATATCTTCTTCTAGATATTCTACCTCCTCCTCCTCAGAGTTTTGTTGACCAATGTTAACTCCCTTCCCCTTCTTACAGTAGGCCTGCGTGCCCTGTGTCTCCTTTTTCTTCTTTTTCATTTTTATCTTATGTAGTTGTTGTAACAATATATCAAGGTCCTCAGAACTCTCTGAGTCGCTTGTGTTCTCAGGCGTTTTTAATTCGGTCAAGTCTGGGTAGAGCCTTCTCCTATTTTTATCTTCAGGCTCTTTTGCCTTCTCACTACTGTTACTTTTAATACTCTCTGCCACTCCACTACATGATCCTTCAGATTTTTCCTCATGCAGTTGCTCAAGAATAGCTTGACCCTCACTCACAAGCACTCTACCACTGAGCCACAACCCCAGCCCTATTTAGGGCCATTTTTAAAATTGTGAGATCGATTTAAAATTGCATTTGTCAATCTCCACTTCATGACAACTTGAAATTCTTGAATAAAACATTTTTAATTGTTTTTAGTTTTGTCCAAAGAGTATAACATTTTACTCAGAATTGTTTTTTTTTTTTTTAATTTAGGTGATTTTGGTTGTGTTCACCTTCATTAACTTAGTAATGGCTTTCTGGAAAAACTAGTTTTTAGAAAAGACACTTGTTTCTCTGTTTTGGTGCAGAGATGCAGAGACTTGCATATGTAAAATGGTTTTAAACTGAGATGTTTAATTTGGTCTTAGTTTCTGCTGAGACCTTAAGTGTAAGGGGAAAAGAAAAGAGGCTAATGTCCCACATATTCACAAAGAGAATTCTGAACCATGTAAGCATAGCTATGATATGACTTAGATATGACTCTAAGCCTTCCCCTTTCTTGTGCATACATGAGAGGCTTAAAGGTCCATGGAAAGATATTGGAGAGAGACGTTCTCAGGAGAAAGCCAGAGTACTGGGGCATTACCCTCTACTGTGCTCCCATCTAAGGCAAAGGAAGGGGCCTTGAAAGAGCTCAGAGAGTTTGAGGTGGATTTGGGGAGTAAGGAGCTTGAACATGCAGATAGGCAGAAGCCCAGGTGGAATGGCATTTGGTGACAGAGCCAACCAATGGGATGACCTTAGAGGAATGATGTGATTTCCCTAACTCTGGGCGGCTGGGAACGGACCATGGTTATTTCCTGTGAGCCTGATTTGGGCCCCATGGGAGGCAACTTGTATCATCTTGAAAAATGCCAAAGAGGACATACTATAGGGGTGAATCAGCTACAGTACAGGGGTGACAGATAGAAAGGCAAAGGATGGCCAGTTGGAGGAGGAATCGCCCACATTGAGGGGACCTGGACAATCCCCAGTGATAGAGGTCATCCAAAGCTCAGAGAGCTACTCCTGAGAGCAGGGGTCAGCACCTGGGGCAGCCAGCCCACTGTTGTGAGCTGCAGAAGAGAAAAGCAACTGGAGGGGAGTACTGCAGAAGCTGGCCACACCCACCACTCCCGACTGGCCACGCCTCTCTTCATTCAGCTCTGAACTTGGAAGGCCAGGGAAGTGCCAATATTAGATCTGCCCAGACATTTCTGGGGCAGTGAGTGGGAGATAGAGGGCAGACTGAGTCAGTTACACTCCTTAGTTCATGGCACACTGGCATCAATAATTTGTACAACTCTCTTTTGTAGTTTGTATTTATAAATTTTTGTTCTCCATCCCTACTCCAGTTCCTCTCCATGAAAACCCATTTTAACAGGTTCCATATGTACTTTTTGTTTGCACATGTTCTGAAAAACTTCCTATTATTTCTGTTATTGTGTGTGTGTGTATGCATGTGCACGGGCATGAGTATTTTTCATTAATATAATTAGCTCTGTATTAACTTGTCTTGTTTCTTATTTTATTGAGCACTGTTTTTAAGATTTGTCTTTGTTGCTGTGTGTTAAGTTGGCCCTAAAAGTCCCAGTTGGATGTAATTGGTCTGAACTTTTATAATTGAAAAATTGAGACTATTTATTAGTACCTGAGAATGGAAACACTGTACTCTGCCCCATATTTCATCCAAGGTGGAGAAGGATGATTTCATAAATAATATTTGAATGCCATTGTTTTCTGAGGGGAGAGCTCCTTTAAACTGTATCCCATCAAGTTCAATTCTTTTAGTCCACCGGCTATAAACTGTTCATTAATACATCAGCTTATATGAACCGAATACCTGTGATGTATAAGATTTTGGTCTCCAAAAGATTCAGGGATAAATAGGATTAAATAGCAGAAGACAATGTCAAGTAAGGCTGTTCTGGGAGATACAGAAATAAAGGTGCAGGCAAAGGGGGAGGACTTCAAGGGTCATCAGGGGAATGAAGAGAAAGAAACTGAATTGCATCTGTAAAGTGTAACAGAATTTTGATATAATGCAAAACACATTTAGATCTTTTGGGAAAGAACATTAGCAAAGTAATGCAAGTTAGAAGGTTCCAGGGGTTTAGTTGGGAGGTGAAAAATGTTTTTTTTTTCTTTTTCTTTCCCCCTTTTTACCCCCTGAAGCAAAAGATTAGGTTATTTTACTACACATTTAATGGTTTGTTTTGCTTAGTCTATAATCTAGATTATGACGACTGATTCCTGGCTAGTTAGCTCCATTGTTATTCTCAAACATCAAAATAAGGAGGCAGTGGTGGGAATTTAAATTTGGGTGAGTCAAAGGCTTACCTTTTGTGTGTGTATTGCATTTTTTTTTTCTTTTTTGGTCCCTGGGATTGAACCCAGGGGTGCTTAACCACTGTGCCATATCTCCAGCCCTTTTATTTTGAGACAGTCTTGCTGAATTGCTTAGGGCCTCACTAAATTGCTGAGACTGGCTTTGAACTTGCAATCCTCTCTTGAACCACCGGATTCTGTCTTGCATTTTTAAAGTGATAGTTATCTTATTTTTAAGCCATTGCTTCAGATCCTAATATATTCCTTTAGCATCTTCTTTTGTGTGTTTTGTAAACATTAAGAAAAAAAACTCAATTTCTTTTCTTTTTCTTTTTCTTTTTTTGTGCAGGGGATTGAACCCAGCATCTCTTGACCACTGAGCCACACACATCCCCAGCCCCCCACCCTTCTTCATTTTTTAACATTTTATTTAGAGACAGGGTCTCATTGAGTTGCTTAGGGCCTCGCTAAATTGCTGAGGCTGGCTTTGAACTTACTATCCTTCTGCCTCAGGCTCCTGTGTTGCTGGGATTACAGGTGTGCACCACCATGCCCAACCCCAAGTTCTTTTTAAAGTGGTCTGTGCTGTATCACGCTTAAGCTGACATTGGTACAAGGATCATCTGTATGTGATGGGTTCACTATGTTTTAGGCTTTTTCCTCTAACTTGACTTAGAAGGAAGTTTCTGAGTCTTTTAAGCACCTTGTCATACAGTGAAGCTCTGTGACTTGTCAATGAATTCTAGACTCATGATGTCCCTGTTTGTCATGCTGATCTTGCCTCTTCTCCAATGGTATTCTGCAAAATTCATGCTCATCTTACATCATCCCTGATAAATTATTGATATCTGGAGTTTCACTTTAGTGTCAGCTCCAACTGCTGCCATGTCACCAACCAGAAAGCGCTGTGCAAATTTGAGTTGCTCAGGGAAATCAGTATTGATGATATCCATATGGTTATCAGACTAATCTGAGTTCTAAGTGGAAGTGGATTTGTTTTGCTTTGGACTCAACTGGTTCAGTTTCTTCTTTTTTCTTTCAGAACATTTTATCAAGACCCTGCCAGAATACCAGGTGGTGGGTCCTGTCCAAGTAGATGCGAGTGGGCATTTCCTGTCATATAGCTTGCACCTTCCTGTCCCCAGCAGCAGGAGGAAGAGAGACTTGGGTTCCTCAGAGGACTGGGTCTACTACCAAATTTCACACGAGGAGAAGGACCTGTTCTTCAACCTGACAGTCAATCAGAGATTTCTTTCCAATAGCTACATCGTGGAGAAGAGATATGGGAACCTCTCCCACGTTAAAATGTTGGCCTCCTCGGGGCCTCCCTGCCACCTCAGGGGCACAGTCCTGCAGCAGGGAACCACAGTTGGGACTGCAGCCCTCAGCGCCTGCCATGGACTGGTGAGTGCTTGGGCCCTTAGACCCTCAGCCTGTTGGATCCTCTATCAACAGGTTCATAGCTGCATCAGTGCATGACAGTTGGGCCCTTGTGATGTCATGATCTGGACCTTCAGAGGGGTGGGGAGAACGTGATTTATTTGGGAGGTGCAGAGAGTAAGGACACTGAGGGTTTTAGTGCAAGAGACAGAGGGGCAGGTGGAGGAGAAAAGGGAGGACATGAGTTGGGTCTTCAATCTCTGGGTCAACTCTGAGGGTTTTGTTCATTGGATGGTTGGCCATCACCTTTGGAATGAGAAAAACCTGAATTTGAACTGCTTTAGAGTTTTACTAATAATAACGGTGATAAGAGAAGCTGCTATGACATAATGGTTGGCTATATATGTACTTCACTTTCAGAGTTCATGTAGCATCTTAGACTGTGAGTGGATCCCCGTGCACTTTCATTTGTTATCTGTAAATCTATAAATGGAGATAATGTCAGAACCAGCCTCAGAGGAGGGGTTGGCAAACTACGGCTCACCGACTTTTCATAAATACGACTTTACTGAAGCAGATACACCCCTGTTTCTAGAACACCAGTCACTGGAATGTGTGGCTTATGATGAGGTTTTCGTACATTGTCCTCCTCCCCATTTTTTTTTTTAGCAGATGAGGTCGTTTGGAAATATCAAATAATTTTATTGTGCAAGTTAACTTAATCCTGAGTTTTCTACTATTATACATCACCTCTCAGAGGGTGACTTTTCCAAAGTTTAAGCCTGTATTTAAAATGAGTTCCATCCCTTTGTTCTCCCTTGATTCTGGCAGCAGCTGCAGTGACATCCTGCCAGCAAGCGATGGCCAGCATGCTTAGGGACCGTGCTGATGGTTTTTGAGGTTTTCCTCTTGCTGAAGTAGGAGACAGTGACCGGTGCTCACAGAGTGCGCAGGGAGGGTGACTTCAGGGGAACATTCCAGAGCCCTGAAGGTGACAGGTATCCAAGGTTTTCCAAGCAAAGCAGCTAGTGACCTTGCATTCATACAGAAGGCACTTGTCCCAAGTCCTTCCACCATTACTGTCATTTTGCTAAGAATTTTTGTTCTTCAAAATTTTGCTCTGTGTTTATCTTGTATCTGTAGAATTTGGCTTTGCTGGAATACTGTGGGAAAACTCTTGTAAACATTGTACAACCGTTTAAATCTGAAGGACCCCTGGGAATGAACTGCTATGTACTGTAAATGGAAAGAATTTTTTAATGGCTTTTTGTGTACATCTGGATATTCAAATGTAGATTTTTTTTAGCATTTCCCATAATTAGACCATAAACATTAAAAAATCATGAATGAGCCCTTCTTCTTCTTTTCAGCTTCTTGTAGTGCTTGGTAGAACTGGGAGACATCCTCATCCTCTGGGTTCACCCTAGCTTCAGGTCACATCTTGCCTTGTAGTCCTAGATCTCTCATTTCTGTAACACAACCATGAAAGCCAACCAATAAGTATCATTATCACCTTACCCTCTGTCACCAGCACAGCAGAAGAAAGAGCCCCTGATCTGGAAGGATGGGCACATAGAACTAAAGAATCCAAGAGACAAACATGCAGAATCCACACTGTTCTGGAGAACACTAATGTGGGAACTCATTCTCTGCACTAGGCATGCAAATAATTATCATGCTAATAAGAGCCTAGAAACTTTAAACCCAGGTGCCTCTTCATGGGTTAGAGCAACGTGGTCTTTGGACCAACAGAAACAGTGGGTGTTTATTAGTGGTGTTATCCAACATTGCTAAGAAGGAACTGTTCTCTTCAGGTGATTGTAGCAAGCAGCCAAAGGTGAAAACCGCTGCTCTCAATTTCTCCTTGCTTTCCTCTTGTGCTTTCTAAGGAAACGACATACTGCTCAACATTACTCCAGACTTGGGTATGCAGAACTGGGACTTTTTCAACTGCACAGAGCCCCAGAGGAGCAGTGGGAACTACCATGTGGGCATTTCCAGATTCAGATTTGAGATTTGTTCTAAGTATAGGAGAACCACGTGGTGGCCAAGATGATTTTGGAATTTTTTAGAGCCCAGTCACTGAATGACTTCGCGAGAAACACTCCATGGGATTATTTGGGGACTTGATGTTTTGGGGAACTCTACTTCCACCAGTGGCCTGGTTTAGGCACCTATGCTCTGGACTATGTATCTGGGACAGTAAACAAATACTTGTTTTCTGCTAATAGGACATTCTTTAATTCCTGCTCATAGTATTTCTTAGCCGCAGCTTTATTAAAGTGAGTACTGTTTTTGACTGGGTCACAACCCTTTGCCTCATTTCCAGCCCTTCCTGGGAAATTAAATCCTGATTCCTAGTCTGAATGGTCATGGATCTCTCCAGAACCATGTAGCTTCATCTCCCACTCAACTCTGGCCTTATGTTTTCCTTTCTCATTTGGCTCGTTGAGGTTTCCTTTCTTGTTTTGAACTCCAATGTGTACTAAAATTTTGAATGAGGGATTTTCAGGTTTTTTTTTCTTGAAATCAGACTTTGAGATAGTTGTAGATTCACATGTAGTTTTAAGAACGAGTACAGAAAGACCTGGCATACCCTTAACTAGTTTCCTCCAATGGCAAAATTTTGCAAAATTACTGTACAGAATCACAGTCAGGATTTTGATATGGATGCAGTCAAGATGTCAATGTTTCCATCACAAGACTTCCTCGATATTGTCCTTATAGCCATACCCATTTCTCCCCTCCCTCCAGTCACCTCCCATGTTTACATTTTACATGTAAGTCTGTGATCCCCTTTGAGTTAATTCTTGTATGAGAGCTGAGACTTAGGTGGGGGTTCATTTCTTCACTCCCCTCCCTCCCTCCTTCTCTGCCTCTTTCCCTTTCCTGTACCTTCCTCTTTTCCTCCCTCCCTCCTTTCCCTTTCTTCCTTCCTTTCCTCCTTCCCAGCCCCCCTTCTCCTTCCCTTTCTTCCTCTGCTTTTCTTTACCCATAGATGCCTAAAGGCTTCAGAACCATTTGTCAAAAAGCTGTCTTTTCTCCCTTAAATTGCATTCATCCTTTGGTAAAAATCAATCAGACATACTTCTGTGAGTCCCTTTCTAAGTTTTAGGTTCTGTTCCACCAACTTCCCACAGTCTTCATTCTTGACTGTATAATCTTGATATTAGGTAGACTCTCTCATTTCATTCTCCTTTTTCAAAAGAGTTTGGCAGATTCTAGCTTCTTTGTCTTTATGTGTAAATTTAAAAATAATCTTATATACAAACAACTTGATGAGATTTTGATAGGAATTATATTAAACCTGTGTATTAACTTGGGGAGAATTGGTAACTTTGCTACTTTGAATCTTGCAATCCATGAACCATGTTTGTGTCTGGGTTTATTTAGATCTTCCTAGATTTATTTTATCAATATTGTGTAGCTTTTGGCATGCTAGTCCTGTGTATGTTTTGTCAAGAAATAATTTAAAGTATATAAGAGATGTACATAGCTTACATGCAAATATTACAGTATTTTATTTAAAGGACTTGAGCATGTGTAGGCTTGGGTATATAAGGGGATTCTGGAATTATATGCCTCATATCTACGGACATTTAGTTTTTTTCTTTACTTTGACTATTGTGACTAATTCTACAGTGAACATAGGAGTGCAGATATCACTTCAAGATAGTGATCCTTTGGATACATATCTAGAAGTAGAACTGCTGAATCATATACTAATTCTACCTTTAGCTTTCGTTAGTAATCTCCATGCTATTTCCCACAAAGGCGATTCTAATTTATATTCCCACGAACAGTATATAAGGGGTCTCTTTTCTCCATATCCTCACTGAAAGAATGAACAAGGCTCATTGGAGAAAATGCCTGTTTATTGAGGAACAGCTCTGCATATTTATAGAGCCAGGGGTGGTTGACAGTTATGACAGTTTAATGGTTGAAGGGTTTGACAGTTGGCATGGGGTGCTTTCTGATTGGTGGGTAAGGATCATGTGAGTCAGCAGGGCTAGTCTGATTGGTGGGTAAGGATCATGTGAGCCAGCAGGGCTCACCATTGGACAGCTCTTCTCGGGGGATGGGGAAGTTAGTCTTTGGAGCTGGGTTCACTCTCAACACTCACCAGAAATATCTCCTTGTGATTTTGATGTGAACCTCTGTGATATTAAATGAAGTTAAGTGCTTTTCATATCTGCTGGCCATTTCTATGTCTTCTTTGAAGAAGTACCTATTCAAGTCCTTTGCTAGGTTTTAATGTGTGTTTTGTTCTATTGATTTATAGGAGTTCTTTATATATTTTGGATATTAACCTTATATTGAATATATGATTTGGAAATCTTTTCTCCCATTTCATAGATTGCCTTTCATTGTGTTGACTTTCCTTCTGCAGAATCTTTTCAGTTGGATGCACTAGTCTGTTTTTGCTTTTGTTGCCTGTGCTTTTGGTGTCATATTAAAAAAAAAAAAGTCATTGCCCAAACCAATGTCAAGAAGAAGCCTTTAAGCACATTAGTTTCATTCATTCTCCCAGATAATGTGTATGTGTGAACTGTTCTTTTGTATTCTCCTGTCAAGTCCAAAGTGGGCCTGAGGACATCCAGTTTTGCCCCTACTGGTCTCATGGCCTAGAGAAATCGAAGGCTCCATGACCCTTGGTCTTGGTCCTTTCTCCTCTGTCATTGTGAGGATTTTGAGCTGCCTGGGGAGGGATTCTAAATCTCACTCTGATGATGTTTCTCACAAGGAGTCTCCTGCCGGTTGCTTTTACCTGTATCACCTACTGTGCTGCCTGTCTCTGTGGGCCCTGGGGCCTTTCCTGCCTGTTGGGTAGCTAATCTGAATGGAAAATTAGGCTCTCAAGCAGAGTAAAATAATGGCCTTGTGGTTTTTGTCTCTTCCCTGGTCAGAATGTATTTGGAGAAAAATTAATGAAACTTCTCTGCAAATTTATCCCATGTTTTTTCACTCATATTTATTCCAAATTTTTTTTTTTTTTGGTAGAATTTTCTGATTCTCAATCATTC